CAACCTGTTTTGTATTTGTAATTATTTTTTCTATCCTTAACATGTGTTTTTGTCTTTCAGGTACACCTGGACCTACATATGGGCCTGCCATTCTGTGTTTGTTTGCCTCTCCTTCCTGTTCTCTCAAACCCAGCCAGTCAAAGCAGATGGCCGCTTGTCCTATGCCTGGTTCTGCTGGAGGTTTCTTCCTTTTAAAAGAGAGTTTTTCTTTTCCACTGTTGCCATTGTGCTTGCTCAGGATGTGAGATTGCGATGAAGTGAAGACTAAACGAACCTGCTGGCTTCCTTTGATAGAGAACCTTACTAATTGGCTTTTCTATTTATGTATAGATAGATAGACAGACAGACAGACAGACAGACAGACAGACAGACAGACAGACAGACAGACACTTTATTGATCTCAAAGGAAATTATATGTCTATCTGTAGCTCTTATTCATACAAACAATAAGATAAAAATACACCAGATATAAAACCTGAGTATTAAAAAGATCAATAAATAATTTAAAAACAACCCTAAGATGAGATAAAGCAGCAACTATGTTAAGGGACATAACCCCTTTACGCCCTTTAGATTTTATTTTGAAACGTTACAGTAATGTGTCTTACCATTTGTATGCTGTCGACATCCAGTTATACTGTTCTTTTCGAGCCTCTGAGTTCCATAAATTGAATGAACTCAGAAACTGTCTGTTAGAGATCAAAACATGGCTGAATGACAACTACCTGCAGTTAAATGCAAACAAAACTGAGACTCTTATTATTGCCCCTGATAAAATTCCAGTTATCAGGCAGTATCTTACGTTTTTAAATCCTTCGGTAAATAATAATCTCAGAAATTTGGATGTCATCTCTGACAGTTCTGTATCTTTGGACAGTCATTGTAAATTGTTAGTTTGAAATTGTTTTTACATCTAAGAAACATTTCAAAACTACGATGTATGGTATCACAGAATGAACTAGAGATGGTTGGTCATGCTTTTATTTCCTCTTGTTTAGATTACTGTAACAGCCTTTTAATGGTTCTGAATAAATCTTCCCTAGCTTGCCTTCAGTCTGTGCAGAATGCTGCAGCAAGGCTGCTAACTAGAACCCACAGAAGAGCCCACATAACACCTGTTCTGGACTCTCTGCATTGGCTCCCCGTGCATTTCAGGAGTCATTTCAAAATTTGGGTCCTAACTTTCAGGGCACTTCATGGTCATGCTCCCAAAAATTTATCAGACCTTTTAAAGCCTCTCTGTCCCATCAGGACTTTGAGATCTTCAAATCAAACGTTGCTGATGGTACCCAGAACTTGCTTTAAAACATGTGGAGACAGCATTCCAAGTGGTGGCCCCGAGGCTTTGAAATGCTCTCCCTCTGTCACTGCGCTGCTCGGATTCCATTGACTCTTTTAAAAAAGATCTTAAGACTTATTTATACAGACTGGCTTTTAGTTACATTTTGTTTACTTTTTCATGATTTGCTTGTGAAGCACTTTTTAATGTTATTGTCTGTGAAAGGTGCTATATAAATAAAGATTACTTACTTACTTACTTACTTAGGATTATCCACGTGGGCAATGACAGTGAGACCTGGAGGGGTGTGGTTGGGAGGAACGGCCCCCCTGATCTGAACCCGAGTGGTGTTCTGTTGTTGGACTTTTGAGCTCGTAGATTGTCAATAACGAACACCATGTTCAAGCATAAGGGTGTCCATGTGTGCTCTTGGCACCAGGACACCCTAGGCCGAAGTTCAATGATCGACTTTGTTGTCGTCTCATCTGATCTGCGGCCACGTCTTGGACACTCGGGTGAAGAGAGGGGTGGAGCTGTCCACTGATCACTACCTGGTGGTGAGTTGGCTTCGATGGTGGGGGAGGATGCCGGTCAGACCTGGCAGACCCAAACGTATTGTGAGGGTTTGCTGTGAACATCTGGCAGAGTCTCCTGTGAGACGGAGCTTTAACTCCCATCTCCGGGAGAACTTTGAACATGTTCCGGGGGAGGTGGGGGACATTGAGTCTGAGTGGGCCATGTTCCATGCCTGTATTGTTGAGGCGGCTTACCGGAGCTGCGGCCACAAGGTTGTCGGTGCCTGTCGCGGTGGCAACCCTTGAACCCGGTGGTGGACACCGTCGGTGAGGGATGCCGTCAGGCTGAAGAAAGAATTCTATCGGGCCTTTTTGGCCTGTGGGACCCCAGAAGCAGCTGATGGGTACCGGCAGTCCAAGCGACATGTGGCTCGAATGGTCACTGAGGCAAAAACTCGGGCATGGGAGGAGTTTGGAGACGCCATGGAGAATGACTTCTGCACGGCTTTGAGGCGATTCTGGTCCACCATCTGGCGTCTCAGGGGGGAAAGTGGTACAACCCCAACACTGTTTATAGTGGGAGTGTTGTGCTGCTGACCTCAACTCGGGATGTCGTGGGCCGGTGGGCAGAATACTTTGAAGACCTCCTCAATCCAACCGGCACATCTTCCAATGAGGAAGCGGAGCCTGGGGATTCTGGGTGGGACCCTCCAATCTCTGGTGCTGAGGTCACCGAGGTGGTTAAAAAGCTCCTCGGTGGCAGGGCCCCAGGGGTGGATGAGATTTGCCCGGAGTTCCTTAAGGCTCTGGATGTTGTAGGGTTGTATTGGCTTACACGACTCTGCAATATTGCGTGGACATCGGGGGAAATTCCCCTGGATTGGCAGACTGGGGTGGTGGTCCCCCTATTCAAAAAGGGGGGCCGTAGAGTGTGTTCCAACTACAGGGGGATCATGCTCTTAAGCCTCCCTGGTAAGGTCTATTCGGGGGTTCTGGAGAGGAGGGTCCATAGGATAGTCGAACCTCAGATTCAGGAGGAGCAGTGCGGTTTTCATCCTGGTCGTGGAACACTGGACCAGCTCTACACTCTCAGTAGGGTCCTGGAGGGCGTGTGGGAGTTTGCCCAACTGGTCTACATGTGCTTTGTGGACTTGGAAAAGGCGTTCGACCGCATCCCTCGGGGAACCCTGTGGGGGGTACTCTGGGAGTATGGGGTACCGGGCCCTTTGATACGGGCTGTTAGGTCCCTGTATGACCAGTGTCAGAGCCTGGTCTGCATTGCTGGCAGTAAGTCGGGCTTGTTCCCGGTGAGAGGTGGACTCCGCCAAGGTTGTCCTTTGTCACCGATTCTATTCATAACTTTTATGGACAGAATTTCTAGGCGCAGCCAAGGTATGGGGGATCCGTTTTGGTGGCCATAGGATTGCTTCTCTGCTTTTTGCAGATGATGTGGTCCTATTGGCTTCATCAGATCGTGATCTACAGGTTTTGCTGGAACGGTTCGCAGCCGAGTGCGACACGGCCGGGATGAAGATCAGTTCCTCCAAATCCGAGGCCATGGTCTTGAGCCAGAAAAGGGTAGAGTGCCCTCTCCAGGTCAGGGAGGAGGCCCTGCCCAAAGTGGAGGAGTTCAAGTATCTCGGGGTCTTGTTCACGAATGAGGGAAAAATGGAGCGTGAGATCGATAGGTGGATAGGTGCAGCATCTGCAGTGAAGTGGGCGCTGTACAGGTCTGTCATGGTGGAGAGAGCGGAGTCAAAAGGCAAAGCTCTCAATTTACCGATCGATCTACGTTCCTACCCTACAGCATTTAGATCTGTGCCAAATCTGTTTACAAGTCGCCAGATCTGCATAACCGTCACTGGACGGTTTACGCACATGTGCCAGGCGGTTCTATCACGCCACAAGTGTAAAGACCTGGTCCACAGTTCCAGAACCTGGACATGTGTAAGAGTTTGCTTTTAAAAACTTAAAGTGCTAATTTTGAACACTATAAAACTTGAAAAATCCATTTGCAGGACACAAGTTTTTACAGAGCACTCTTTTTACAACTGTTTTACATGTTTCCATAGAGCAATGGATGCAATACATTAATTAAGATAAAGAAATAATGTCACTCTTCCCAATTTTTAAACAATCAATTTGAATAAAGTGCTTCCCAACATTTTTGTGTCAGAGATATAAAAAAACATTTCCACCATATAGAAGGGTATATATGTTTTTTTAATTTTATTTTGTAAAATGAAGTGGGTAATGATAATGGTTTTTGGATGAAAAAGCAACACCAAACAAAGAAAAAGTTAACTTAAGCAGCAGAGATGCATGTTTTGTTAGGAGTATGTCTATCTTTAGACAATATGACACTGACCTTAGGTCTGTTGTTACGTTGAGTCTTTTCTTTAACTCCAAAGGCAATCCTGAAGAAGAGAAAATAAATATATGCATATATTAGAGACTCATGAATAACTCAGAGTATCATAATAGTCACAACAGATATAATGCATAGGTGTCGCAACAATTATAAGTGAAGGGGACAAGTCCCCCCTACATTAAAAAACGTTCATTTGGACCCCCACACTTTTACTATAAAACATTAGTTCACTCTGCGCAGTTTCTTTGTTTGTGAACGAATCCATTCCACTTGATTAATAGGAGAATACTCAAACCACTAAAACTCCACTCCAGGTTTTCCTGGTTACTTCCAACTCTAAACACAGCAGCCTGTTGCCACGGTCACAATATATGGTGGTCACAGAATATGGTGTAACACCTGCAGTGTTTCTGTGAGTCTCCTCCTGCCTCGGCAGAAAACGCGCACAGGTGGAGGAGATGGAGACACCTCTATGTTACTCACTCACCAGTTTAGCAAGCTGTGCGGGCAGTTGTTGACCAGGGGGTTGATAATAAACATATATACATGTTAGGAGGAGGAGAGAAGTGGAGCGCTACGTCTGTAGCATGTTAGCTTAGCAGTAACTGTGACGCTGTAAGACGCTGCAGGTGTAAGAGACTCTGTGTGTTCAGGTGCATTAAAGTTGAAATGTCTTTAAAACCCCACACCTTATTGTCCTCAAGCTTCATGAGAAACATCATTTAGATGAGGAGTGTTGAACACAAGTAAAAATGCCTAGTGGTGATGTTTTTTGTTTCACAATAAACACAAATTGTGCCGACCTGACGCTCTGTATTAAAGTTAAAATGTCTTTAAACCCACAGCTGAATTTACACAAACTTGGTGAGAAACATGTTTTAAATGTGTGGAATTAAAGGAAATCTAGGTGAAATGTTGCTTTTTTGTACATGTACACTAGTGAAAACCTTTTTTTTTAACGTGCGCACACATGCACGCGTACATGCACGCGCGCACACACACACCTACACACATCATTGTGTCCCCCCCCCTACATTATGGATGCTTCTGACGCCCTTGATATAGTGACTGTAAATGAGTGATGTTCTTAGATGACTGTGGCAAATGCAGGGTTCAGGACCATGTACAACAAAGTTATAATAAATAAATATACAGTAGCCCATTGATTGGGGGGTGAGGGGGATCCATATCCTGAAGCCCCACAATAGGGGAAAAACTGCAATGTAGAAATAGTAGTACAAGTAGAAAGTAGTAGTTTATTTTAGTATTCATATATATATGTGTGTGTGTGTGTGTGTGTGTGTGTGTGTGTGTGTGTGTGTGTGTGCGCGTGCGTATGTGTGTGTATATATATATATATATATTAGAAATGGGGCCGATTCAATATCGGGCTCCGATACCAGCGTAATTTACGTATCGGATTTTTCCAATCCAACCTGTAGAGATTTCCGATCCATGATGCATGTCTGTGTCTGTTGAAACGTCTCCACATGTGATTCCCTGCCAGCTGCTCTGCACATTGGCTTCAAATTATGGAATGGATTTCCTGAACGGAGGTGTCTCATGAACCCAGAGTAATAAGACCCGCCTCACATTCAGGAAATCCATTTCGTAGTTTGCAGCAGCTACAACGTGAGTAAATACGTGTGGGCTGAGAGCAGCACTGTTGCTAACGGCTAACCAACTTTTCATCGTAACGTGTGGAAGTATCTTACACTAAACACCGCAAGACAGCTACGTGCAATATCTGCAGAGCCATAGCACCACATTTAACCAAGGTAAAGTTAGTTTTACATTGGACATTCCAGCTCCGTGGCTTCATCGGTGTGCTCCTCTCACTCAATCCTAAGAAGGCAGTCCAACCTCGGCCAGGCACGCCCAATCTGCCCCGCTCAGTCTGCCCGTCTCAGAGGAGGGGCAGACCGAAATCAGACTGCCTGCTTCGGACTGAACAAGAAGAACTCACCGCTGAAGCCACGGAGCTCAAATGTTTACCGAGAAGTTGCTAAACTTCATCGTAATTAATGACCAACCGCTATCAGTTGAAGAAAACGAATGATTTTGCAGCTTGATAGAATATATGCT